TTCTACCACTCACCTATATCCTGAGCCCTTTTATTTTTTTTTTATTTTGAGACAAAATCTTGCTAAGTTGTTTAGGGCTTCCCTAAGTTGCCAAAGCTAGCCTTGAACTTTTGATCCTTCTGCCTCAGCCTCCTGAGTTGCTGAGATTACAAGTGTGCACCACCAAACCCAGCCTGGCTCTATCATTCTTAACCAGAATTTGAAAAGTGCCTAGTATGGTGGCACAAGCCTGTAATCCCAAAGATTCCGGAGGCAAGAGGATTGTAAGATTGAGCCAGCCTTACAATTTAGCAAGGCCCTAAGTAACTTAGTGGGACCCTGTCACAAAATAAAATTTAAAAAGTCTGGGCATGTAGCTCAGTGGCAAAGAGTCCATGGTTCAAGATTCAATCCCCAGGTCAAAAAAAAGAAAAAAGTGACTTTAAAGTAATGAAGCTGACTCACACTAATGCCAATCAAAGACACTTGGCCCAGATTGCTTTCCACTAACTTGTAAGTAGAGTTAAAAGCAGGGAAAAAATAAAGCAGAATTGTAAGAACAAATGTAAATAATAAGGATATGGCACTTTTGTTACCTTGACTTACTCTTATACTGATTATGTGACCTAGGTAAATTTCTGCCTGAACCTAATTTTTCTTTTTCTTTTTTTCTCTTTCTTTCTTTCTTTCTTTCTTTCTTTCTTTCTTTCTTTCTTTCTTTCTTTTTCTTTTCTTTCTTTCTTTTTTTTTTTAACCAGGGCACTTAACCACTGAGCCACATCCCTAGCCCTTTTTTGTATTTTATTTAGAGACAGGGTCTCGCTCAGTTGGTTAGGGCCTTTCTAAATTACTGAGGCTGGCTTTGTACTCAATATCCTCCTACCTCAGCCTCCAGAGCGGCTGGGATGGCAGGAATGCGCCACTGTGCCCAGCAGGAACCTAATCTTTTTAAGGATGGTCTACCTGAAGGCCAGAGAAGTCCTTCTTCTGTTGAGCTGGCTGAGACTGGTTGGATCTGAGATGGCTGCTAGAGTGAACCTGGACAACCTCTAACTTGATTATAATCCCATCTGTGTGCTAGATGACACACCCCCTGGCGCTGTGACAGTTGATAATTGCCATGACAGAAAGAAACATAAAAGGAGCAAAACGTATTCAAATTCCTAGAAAATCTTCTGGCATTTCCAGAAAATACATGAGTGTTCCTCCCCTTTTATTAGCGTATTTCTCCCCCTCATTTTTAACCTATATTTATAACCTTCCCAGGCCCCAAAGTAGGGAGATGATTTGCCAGTTGATCTCCCACTTCTTCTATTTCTGGCCAAAATAAAAGTCTTTTTCATTGCTGAGTCCAGGTTCGGTCTTGTTATTTGACTCCACATTTCCAAGTAGGAGAAAAGACCCAGCCTTTGTGATCAGATATTGATTAACACTTTCTCTTACTGACTTATCCCAGGTTGGAATGCTGTCCTAGATCTTACAAATTCCTGCTTAATTTTTTTAGGCAAGATGCTTAATTATTGCTGAGTTTAAGGGGAAAAAAATCAGTATCCTATCTTCCCACTGATATTATGTTTTGGTAATAATTTCAACCTTTGGAGAAGACAGCATGGTAATGAAACAAAACCTCAGCATTGGCTCAAACAAGGCCAGATTTAATCCCAGAGCCACATATATTGGCTGTGTACCATTGAATATTCATTACAAACCTCTCCTGTTCCTCATTTTTAAAAAAGGCCAGGCATAGTGGCCCACACCTGAAATCCCAGGAGGCTAAGGCATGAGGATCCCAAAATCAAGGCCAGCCTCAACCTCAGCAACTTAGCAAAACCCTATCTCAAATAAAAAATAAAAAGGGCTGGGGATGTGGCTCATGTGACTTAGTGGTTTTAGCATCCCTGGATTCAATTCCCAGTACCCCCCCAAAAAAAGAATCTGCAAAATGGGAATAAATGCAAGGATTAAATAAGACGACAAACGGGAGGCCCAAGCACAATACTAGACACACAATAAATGTGAGTCTCCCTTTCCTTTTTATGTCAGTTTAGATTATGAACATAAAGTAACTCCCCACCAAGAGCTGCTTCTGACTGAGGGCACCATTTTCTGGGATAGGAGCTCTTGGTGGCCCTTGATTGTGACGGCTGATGGCACACATCTGGAAACTATGACAGCCAGTTTGCTTTGAGTTCAACTTGGCCCCAGTGTCTATAGAAGGCAGCTTCTATCCTTCAGTTTTTCCCAACACATCATAGCTTGGCTTGGATATGGGAAGAGGGGTAGCTGTCAAAGGAAATGCACCATGTCTGGAAGGAACTGAGATTCAACTAACAATTACCAAGTCCCATATTGTCCTACTGGGGCCCTGTCCCTAGAGCTTTTATGGCTAGTCTCATTGAAAATACTACTGGGAGCTTTATTTTGATGCCTCCTTTGCAGATGCTTCAAATGAGATTGGAAGATTCAGTGACTTTCCCAAAGTCACAGGATAATAAGGAATGGACTTGGAAGAAGATCCCAGACTTCTGGGGTTTTTTTTGTGGGGAGGGTTACCAGTAATTGAACTCAGGGGCACTCAACCACTGAGCCACATCCCTAGCCCTATTTTGTATTTTATTTAGAGACAGGGTCTCACTGAGTTGCTTAGCATCTCACCCTTGCTGAAGCTGGCTTTGAACTCTCAATCCTCCTTGCCTCAGCCTCCCAAGCAGCTGGGATTACAGGTGTGCACCATTGCATCTGCTCCCAGACTTTTTGATATGGCAGTAAAACAAGGAAAGAGCACATATAGTGCTTCGAGATCAGCAGTTGCAGCAGCTGCCTGCCAGAGTCTACTCTGAACTGACAACTCTTTTAACAAGTTCAGAGAGAGGAAGGCCCAAGAAAGCTTCCTTGGCCTTTAGAAACTATCACATATAAACTGGGACAAGTAGTGGCAAAGGGCTAAATAAACATGCCCTATGGGGCCAGGGGCGCAGTTCTGTGGTATAGCCTTTCTTAGCATGCAGAGCCCCTGGCTTTGATGCCCAATACTGCAAAAACAAAGAGAAGCCCAATACAACACAAGACAAAAAACCATGCCATGTAATCAATACCTGATCACAAATTGAAACAAAAATCCATTTTGTAAAATACTTCCAGCATCATTTATTTAATCTTTTCTTTTCATACTAGAGATTGAATCCAGGGACACTTTACCACTGAACTACATACTCAGACATTTTTACATTTTTATTTTGAGACACGCTCTCACTAAGTTGCTGAGGGCCTGGCTAAGTTACTAAGGCTGGCCTCAAACTTGTGATTCCCCTGCCTCATCCTCCAGAATCTCTGGGCTCATAGGTCTGTACCATGTAGCCATATGTCATATTTAATATTTTGGGTTTTATTTGCTTGCTTGCTTTATTTTGATGATTCAGAAGGTATTTTAGGACCAATATTAACTATCATTAATTCAATGAAAATCTACTAATCTACCTATACTGTTTAAAAGCACTGTTCTAGATGCTGGGGATACAAAAACTCTTGAATAAAACCTCTTCCAAGTGCCATCTGTAGTGATAAATTGAGATTTGAAGGGTTTTTTTTTTGGCAAAGAATGCTAAAAATTAAAAGTCAGCTGTCTTTATTTATTTATTTTTTATTGTTTAAAGAAATACAGAGCAGTCCTAATGGAAATTCCTTTATGGGCTTATTAGTAACTTTTTCTTAATTTTCATTTTTCTCTCTTCTTTGATTGACAAAAGGACCCCTTTATTTCCAGGAGTAGTTTTGGGTCCCAGCATACCCAGCTTCTTCTCCTCCCTTATCCACTGTCAAAGGAGAGTTATCAGAGTGTGGGTTTCAGTGCAAACCTGACTGGATGACTCAAACTGCAACAGTAAAAACGCTGCTAGGGCATGGCATGATGGCCCACTACTGTGATCCCAACAACTGGTGAGGCTGAGGCAGGAATATTGCTAGTTTGAAGCCAGTCTTAGCAATTTAGCCAGACCCTGTGTCAAAATTAAAATGAAAAGTACAATTAAAAAAAAAGTGCTGCTAGAGTTTAAAAAAAAGAAAAGAAAACTACACTTGTTTGGTGGCAGCTGCCTGTAATCCCAGCAATTCAGGAGACTGAGGCAGGAGGATTTCAAGTTCCAGGTCAGCCTCAGCAATTTAGTGACACCCTATCTCAAAATAAAAACTAAAAATGTCTGGGTACTTAGCTCAGTGGTAAAGTGCCTCTGGGTTCAAACCTCAGGACCAACAAAACAAGAAACAAAAATAAAACAAACAACAACAATTTAAAAAATCACAATGCAGTATTTCAACTCCCCTCCCTTCAAATCAAAAGCCTAGTGAATGAAATTAGGACCATTATTCCAGTACAATTATCCTGCGGATGTCCAATTGAAACACTAAAAGTAAATCATACATTTGGATATTACATTTCATATTTGAAAACGTGCCAGAAAAGTTTTATTATGTTTGAGCATAATGTCAGGAGACAAACCTCTACAAATTTTATACATAACTTTTTCCATTTTATCTGTTTTCCATTTATGTTGAGTTGAACACATGATGCGACTTTTAATATTCTCTCTTCCTTCTTCTTTTCCGCGTTTAATGCCAAGAGAGCAAACTCAATCTTGATTATCCTAAATTTGCCCTTGGGTAATCTCAGACCAATTTTTTTTTTTTTAAGTTAGCATGGAGAAGGAGCAAAGAAGAACTTCTAAGTAAATTTATAAAAGAGGTCCTGTAGATGCAAACCAACAGCCTGGAAAAGGGAACAGCAAGGCACCCATGAATTATAGAAGACGATCTTGGCTCCAGGCAGTTCTTGCCAGCTCAGGTATCCAATCAAGGAAACTGATCATAAAACAAGGCAATAAACAGTGGATGGCGGTGGAAATAAAAACCCCTTGCAGAAGCAGGGCTGGGTGGGGTCTGGCGGCGGGGCTGCAGGTGCAGGAGCCGGGCGCTCCGCGTGGGGGCGCCCGAGCGCATGCGCGGTGGGTGACGTCAAGGTAACAACCGCCGCCCGAGGATGGCTTCCAGCTTCAAGAAGACAAACGTGGCCTCCACCAGCCAGAAGAAAAAGGTGGGTCCTAAGCCCGAACTCACTGAAGACCAGAAGCAAGAAGTTCGGGAAGCGTTTGACCTCTTCGATGCCGACGGAAGCGGGACCATCGACGTGAAGGAGCTCAAGGTGGCCATGCGAGCGCTGGGCTTTGAGCCCAGGAAGGAAGAGTTGAAGAAGATGATCTCCGAGGTGGACCGGGAGGGCACGGGCAAGATCAGCTTCAACGACTTCTTGGCCGTGATGACTCAGAAGATGTCGGAGAAAGACACCAAAGAAGAGATCATGAAGGCTTTCAGGCTCTTCGACGACGACGAGACCGGGAAGATCTCCTTCAAGAACCTCAAGCGAGTGGCCGCCGAGCTCGGGGAGAACCTGACGGACGAGGAGCTGCAGGAGATGATCGACGAAGCGGATCGCGACGGAGACGGCGAAGTGAACGAGGAGGAGTTCCTCAAGATCATGAAAAAGACCAACCTCTATTAAAGTCACTCAAGTGACTCCCTGGGTTCCTTGCGTCTGTATTCCCTCCTTCCTCTCTGGTTTGTCTTGATGGATTTCGAACCTCGAAATCAATTATAGTATTTAAAAGATTCCTGTAACCTGAATTCCTTTTTTTTYTTCTTCTTCTTCTTCCTTTTTCTTTCTTTYTTTTTAATTCTCAAAGAGCAAACCTTCAGTGCCATTGGTTAACTTAAGGGCTCTGAAACTAGAGTCCACCCACCGCTTGCCTAAACCTGGTGGACACCCATTAAACACGAGCAACTTCTTCCAACAAACAGAAATGTGGTTCCCATGTCGCTTCTTGGGTGGTCTTCAATGATCTTGCTTCATAGGTCATTCCTTAAATTCAAGTTAGCGTTCTAGCAGGAGGAGGTAGAATCTGCCAGCAGGTCCTTCAAGCCATTGCTTGTCACTTAGCTGAATACTGGTTTGAAGAAAAACAGTATGGACATTTCTGAATTTACTGACTTCAGGAAAGACACTGTTTTTTAAAATATAGGCTTGCCTTTGGGAGGTAGTAAACTGGGCAATGTAGACTGTTCCCTGGCTTCATCAAATGCAAATGGGTCCGTGTTTCATGACTGTAAATTATCTACTGAGGGTTATCCAGGGCCAAAAGATCTACAGAATAAGAATAAAATTTCATATTGATCCAAGCAAAATATATCTTCTTTATGAGATTAAGCTAACTAATGATTTTGTGTGTGTTTAGTATTGGGATTGAACCCAGGGGTGCTGTAC